ACCAAAACCAACAAATAAAATCAAAGTGACTAAAGAGATAAAGAGCAACTCGATGTGATGCCTTCAAACGGAATGAAGGAAAACTTCAAGAAACACCTTTAGGCAGAAAGAAAGGAGGCGTTATAATAGGCATAGCGAATCAAAGTTAGACGAGCAGAACACTGACGCAAAAGTGGAGCAAACACGTCTGCACACCTTATGCCACTAAAGTTGTTGATGAGTGGCATGTGAATGTTAAACACGAGTACTGTATTACCTTCAATCTCATTAGGAGATTGCGTAAGTGAGGCAGGTACATTTGGAATAGGTACGACATTTACCACGTGAGGCCACCACTAAAAGCATTCCTCGCATTTTAAATGGCAGAGTGCACTGCTTTGGTCGAAAAAAAAAACGCTACAATAACTGACAAATGTAAATATCATGAGTAATTACACTAGGATAGGGTCTGCGATGTGACGGGTAAAACTTTACCTTATTGCAGAACAGTACGACTCGGCGATGGTTTTATGGTTCAGATTTAATTTGTGAGGCAGGCATATGACATTGAAGGTAAAAATAATTATTTTATAAAGGAGTTAAGAGGATGCGAGGAAATGGACCAGTACAGAATCAAAATTTCACGCACAGAACGGCGAGATTTTGCACAGGCAAATATGGGTTTTAATTAGCAACTCTGCATAACGATGTCACCCACTTTGCGTTATAAAGCATCATAAATGGTGTAGGCAAAATGCTTCAAGAAGTTGAACAAACTGAATGAAGAGAACTGCCTTCTCAGCAAAGCACGACAACGAATTTGAAAGAAAATGAGTAGTCATGAGATTTGAGAAGGTTTGAAGGAGGAATGAGTGCGAAAATTTGTAAAAATTGAATCGTCATTCTAACCGTGCTAAGGAGAGAGTAAATCTATTCTGCCCATTTTTCTCCCGCGGAGATAGATGAGTAGTCCATACAATCTGCCATGCCAACCTACTCCAACTCGCATCCCCGTCTACTGACATAGACATACCATCCTCACCGCTATGAGAAGTTTCTTCACAACAACCGGCGTAACCCATGCTTCTTCATATGCAACAGCAGTTGTCAAGAGCAAATCCAACTCAAAGCGATGGTCCACGAACATTATTTGCGCGAATGTTCAGAATTGCAGTTAACAACGAAAGCTGAGAGGATGGTTAGAAGCAGTTCTTGGATTGAGTTGTTTAAGCACAGGACTTCGTTACCGATGGTATTTTGCACATAATAAGCTTTCGGTTTGACCCTTTTTGAGTGGAATAAAATTTGAGCCATTTTATCCACGGCATGTGTGATGGGGCACTGTCGCCTCCACAACTAGCATCATCCTCGGCCGGACGCCATGGCAGAATGCAAGGTGGGACATCGTAGTTGCACGTCTGTGCTCAGTGTGTTGTTGAGAAAGCGGTGGACAAAAGTTAATCCCTAGTGAGTAAGTATGATCAAGTAAGAAAGGAATTCGGTAAAAGGAAGCTGGAGAGTGACGAAAAGGAGAAAATATAGATAGGAGAACAGATGTTTGTATCGAAAATGGAAAAATGATCTTCCTAAATACATGGCAAATGCGACCACACGAGGTGCACTGCTTATAACTTTAAGGGAATGGAAGTAGTTGTGATGCCGAAAGAATACTACAAACTCTCGAATGACTGGAACATTAACGATTCCGACGACTATATTGGTGAGGATCACTCAAAGTGAATTTTATGATCGGAGGGGCCGAAGACCAAAGGTCTGACAACGACGATAGCGAAGCAAAACTCATATGGACGAGAACGAGGTGTCGCTGGGAATCGTGTCGGGCAGCAATCACATCACTGAAAGTGAGGAGCGTCATGTGGACCTGTCTGTGTTGTAATCGCTAGGAACGCAGACTTATACCGTATACGCATTCGTAATACTCGATTAAGATCTATTTAACGGAATGATTAAGTTTACGCCTTGTTAGGCCATGTAAATTCATACCTTCCTTCAATAATATGGATGAAGATTTGAATTCATTTTAAAAGACAGTCTCTATCTGACCAACAGTGCTAGATTTAGTACTTGCCTTGTTCGAATGCCTAAATGAGTGGCGCCACTTTGGAGGCCATCTTGCCCCTATTAGATGAGCACGTATTTTATTATCTCAAATGGAGTACCGAGAAGCCGATGTGACAGGTTAAATTTTATGTAACGACGAAATGTCATCAAACACTTGACCTTAGGTAGGAGAAGGATTAAAACTTGGCTGAGTACGTGCATTCAAACGGAAAGGGAAGATGTTGGGTTTTGGTACGGGGCCAAAGGTTCGCCCACGGAGCAGAAACATCGTCCCTAATGTGTACCTTGCATTGCTTCTTCGTCTTTTGAGCTACGATCCTTAATACAGCTGAGCCCTCTCACTATCTTCAAGCGGAGTTGGTGTCTCATTCGGTTTGAAGGCAGTTTGCACAGACAGACCGTCACGTGTGGCAGGAGCTTCACTTTGGAGCAATGGTTAGAAACGTATGCGCACTGGCGAGTACAAAATTTAACAGAGCCACATGAAGAGAGAGAGACAGAATGCTTGTGTCGATATCTACGCGCGAATGCGGTAAGAGGAACGCCAAAATGAGAATTCCTCGGGTGATATACTTTTAGTAATGACTGGTCTGTGGAACACAGGAATATGGTAGACCCCCAACGCTTCTCTCGTATTCGAAATATATGCATTTCATCGCAGAAGTTTTCGCGAATGGAAGAAATCAGAGTAAATGCCTTATTTAAAACGAGGTTGTAATCCCCAGCCGATGGTGTGGCGTCCCGAGCTTTCTCACAAAATAATAAGAAGCATAAAAGTTGGCAATATATCTGATCTTCGAGAAGTCCACCCGGAGGAAGCGAGGTAGCCTGCAAATTCCCTACTATCCATACAGGCAGGTGAACTGTCAAAGTACTGGAATGACACTCCACCATCACTCTATCAACGAACTTTTAACAACTCAACCATGTGTCTAATCAAATTAAATGGTTTCTGGTTTCTAAAAAAGAAGAAGAAGACCGTTCACATCTCTACGAATTATTTTGTATCCCATCATTTACGTGGGTGGGGTTTTGGTAATCCTGCCAGATACACGTGGGCGTCATATTCTTTATAGCAGGCAAGTACCATCGAAACTCATCGTTTCGATTAACAATTGCATTGCCTCATTGACGTGACCACTGTGCTCTGACGGTTACTTTGATATTTGTCTTGTACGTGCAAATGCGGACTGGCCTCTGGATCTATTTAACTCCCAATTCCCTTCTTATCCTTCTCCTCGATTGCATGTAAACAGCCGGAATAAATGCCTTCTTCTACCTAGTGGGAAGCCTTGAGGCTGTATGAAATGCGCTTATTAGAAAGAAAACAGAGTTACTGTAATTTTAAAATCAACTCAAGATAGAAGAAGCTAACAACATGTATTTCAAGGATAACAGTGATTAAGCTTGAACATGGCCCGAAGGCCAGACGAATCTTAAAACAATCGCCCTTCTCTTCATTTGAGCGACGTCTTCGACGCTGCTCTTGGTACACCTCCCGCGACAGTGATCATAACATATTTGGTACTCCGAAAGAGCCCCCGCGAGACAGCGGCGCAAGTCAACAGCTACCATGAGACTGAGGAATAGTACTTGGCCTCCTCAGCAGCTTCAAATGGGCCTAGGGGCAGGGAACTTCTTCCCAACCCACGAAGACAATTAAAGCAATGGCAGTCCTTTTGCTGTATAAGAAGAAACTGTGATGGACATTGAAAACTGCATTTGTCAATAAGGGACGATCTAGAAAATGCATAACGGTCGAGGTGCTAGCCTTGAAGCC